CGCGAAAGCCGTCCGCGGCTCGATGACGGGACCGACGACGCACTGCTACTTTATTGCTCGAGTATCGCCGCGCGAATGATAACACGTAAGAAAGGAATTTGAGCGTCTCGCCCCACTACAGTTCTATTCAAATGCCTTCGTATGAATGATAACAAGACCGTGATACGTAAACAATGTTTACGCGCGTCAATGTTTACGCCGCCAAGGCCCATGTTAGGTATTGTTCTAATTCGCTGCCGAAATATTTTACGTACTATAAAATATATATGGGAAATATTAAAGTTTTAAATTATATATTAATTAATTATTAAACGATTAATGTATCACGGATCTTATCGTTATATTAATTATTCGATTTTGCGATTCAATCGTTTTATAACACGTTCTTAATCCAAATTATATTTAAATTATATCTCGAAAAATCAAATGATATAGCATCGCGGAAAAAAATATATTTGACTCTATGTGTTGTTAAAGAAATAATTTTTGTCCGTAAAGATCTCAACGAAACGATAATTTATAATTTATTTTCCTATTACTTTAATTCTTATTTTTTCTTATTTTAATGTTTACTTTTTTAATTTAACGCAGAATTTAATGTTGACGTGTTGTCAAGCGTTCCTTCCATTATACCGACTTTTAAACAAAATTTTGTAACTTCGCATGACTGTATCTCATTAACCATTGAACCAAAGAATTTAAAATTTGCATCACGTGTTGAGTATTAAATTGTGAATAACCTCCTAAAATGGTAGCACAAACGGATCAAACGTTCGGAAATGCGAAGCGAATTTCGAAACTTAATTGTTCGATGGCGTATGTAATATTATCGTAAAAATATTATATTCTATCTTAATTTAAATTATTGTGTTAGTTTTATCAGTAAGAAATTATGTCTCATACTAATTATATCAAGAAATTCTTTCGCGTTTAGAAAATAAATAAATAATATAGTAAACATTATGCAATTTATTTAAAAAATGACTTTGTTCCATAACTTCATTGATTAATAGGATTTCTATCTATATTTTTCGTACACCAAGTATTATGATTAAATGATAACATAACATACGTCATACGTCAATCTCTAACGCACGAGTCAAAAGTTGGTCATATCGCAGGGCCGAAAATGAAAAGGTAAACGTCGCCCTCAATATTTTAAACCGATAAAACTCGTGTAATATATAAAATATTTACATTAAATCATATAATACATCGTTGTATTCGTTTCAAACAGCGCTACAATTTTTATTGTCGAAATATCAACATGCATTATTATAAAAAAATTATGCATACCTCTCCGTTCGTTAACACGGATAGCTTTTGGTAAGTAACTACTATGCTCACAATAGAATTCAATTTGAATCATTTAATTTAATATATATTTGTTGTAGTCTATCTCTTTTAAAGTAAAAAATAAATGGGGATGGCCATTTTTTATGGGACACCCTGTATATATATATACACACAATATGCTGTATTTAAAAAAATTCATGGAGGCTTAAAAATAGTGCTTGTATTAAATTTATTTTATTATTATTAGTGTGTACAGAAAGCTAATCAATTTCACGAACTGAGAAACAGCTTTATAATGAAAAATTTGTTAATAAAAGAATTTTTTTTCTATTCAGAACTTAACATTAGGCCACTCAAAAAGATTTCGAGAAAGTCGAAAATATAACATCCATATTATTTTATAATCTTGGTTTCTAACTTTACTATTTGTATATTTAAATCGACATTTAGATGAATCAACTAACAAAAAGCACTCGTGTAGCTGAGAAGACACTACTCGGCAGTAAATATATCTATATACAGTATTACATTTATCGAATGTAGGTTTCGTATTTTTCGTAAAATAAAAGAACATCATTTATATATAATGACAATTTAGCAAGAGTTTTATAACTTTCAAACTTTTGCAGAAAGACCATTATCAAGGAGATGAATAAATCTATTTATTGCATACTGTTTCCTATGCGAATTTCGTTCATCGACATGAGATATAATATTTCTTATAACTTCAGATGTGGTTTAATTTTCAAAGTACAGAGAGAAATTCAAGAAGAATTGCAGAACGTGATATGGCCGATCGTCGGTGAAGAACATTTTTTAAAAGTGTTACAGTATGGTAAATGAATCAGACAATCAGAGCAAATTAAAATATATATGTAAAAATATAAATAACGATTTTACTAGTCATTTCTATCTGAAAATATTTTTATCTTTAGAATTTATTAGGTATAACCACTCAGAAAGCTCCACTTCCCATCCCCTTTGCACTGAGTGCAAAGAGTGAACGATCATCGATGACAGAGATCTCGAAACAAGTCGAGAACTCGTGTCGTTCTCACGCTCAAGGAAGAGAGCTATCACTCCTCATCGTGGTTACGTTTACTCCCATGTTAGGGAGGGAGAATGAGATCAAGTACTACAGAACTGATCCTGTGAAGCATGATCTTAAAATTTTGCTGCCTCCTAGGTCATATATATACTATGAGTGATTGGATTTTAAATACGAGTTAACACTTTATCGTTGTATCCCTCTAGCGACCAAAGCAAGTACTAAGCGAAATAATCTAATAATAGAACTTTCGATTGGATGTACTAGTGTACGCTGCATACTGATACACATTAAAGGCTATCATATACAAATTTTCAATAGCATAACGGCATAACTGATAATAATAGAAAACAGTATAATAATTAATATTATAAATTATTAGTTTCGTTATTTGTATATTATTATAATAT